CATAGTTCTGCTGGAGGCTGAAGAACGAGCTCTTGGTTTTGATTTGTAGAGTCCGGTGGGAAGCTTGTGTCCTCCACAAAAATGTCCACCTTTTAATTTTGATTGCAAGATTAAATGTTTTCACAGGTAAATATAGAAAAATAAGCAAAGACGATTATTACACAGCTGTGGAAAAGTGCTTTTGATTCCTAAACTTTTAACTGCTAGTAGAAAATAAACACGGTGGATCAGCTTTGGCTCACTCTACAGTCGCAAAGCCTGTTTAACTCTCAATCAAATTAAAGTCTGGACTTTGACTGGCCGTCACTGAAAACTCTCCATCTGTGCCATTCAGAATTGAACTCGCTGGTTTGCTTTGACTCATCGTCCTTCTGCGTGACCCCTTCGCACTTGAGTTTAAGGTCACAAGCTGATGGTTGGACATTCTGCTTCAGGGTTTGCTAATGAAGCTGCAAAGCAGCCCCAGACCACACTGGTGGTCGTCACGATGTTCTTTTCATGATTCAGAAAACCTTCGCCTTTGTCTCATCAGTCCAAAGAAAATGATCCTCAAAGTCTTGAGGACCACCGAGACGTTTTCTGGTAAATGTGGGCAAAATGATGTTCTTCTAACTCCTCCATGGAGGCCGTTTGTCTCTCTTCCTTCTTGTCGAGGTGACCTCTGACCTTAACCGAGGCCTGTAGGGGTGTAGATGTTGCGGTCGTCCACCGCTGAGAAGCTTCATCACTGACCCACGCGTTCTCTGTTTGTAGAAAATGGTTCTCACCAGCTGCGTTTCCAATACAAATGTGTGCAAAATGTTGTTGATGTTCCGCTCATGTGGAAAAAAGTAAATACATTTTTCGCAATTAAATAACACAATTAAAATGACACATGAATGCAGTTGTTCATGTAATAAGTCTTTAAAAAGCATGCAGTGCCATCATCCTCCTACCACTTCCTGTTGTCCTCTTCATCTTTTCTGCCGATTGTTGATCACATGACTTGTGTGATGCAAAAAGTGTTTCCTTTGCAGTTTTGCAAATTACACCAATTTCAATACAGCCAAAAAAAGAGAGAACTTCTTATCGAAAGCGGGAGTTTTTTTTTTTCTTTCTAATTTGGCGTGTTTACATTAAGCAAACTTATTTTCACAATTGCAATTTGCCCAATGTTTTTGTCAATGGGAATGCAGCCTACTGAGGTTCACTGGTGTCCCAAATTGTTATCCAGACTCCTAAATCGTCTGTTCTTGAATTTCAACTAGTCCGGCATTTTTTGATTCATTCTGAACCAAAAAATGTCATCAATTCTACTTTATTTATGACTTAACCACAGGGGTGGCATACTTTTCAATTGGGTTGGTATGGATGACCTTTTTTCTCTGAAGTTGTCTTAGACTGAAAAATCCGATTGATGAACATTTGGTTTCTTGAAATTTTCGGGTGTGCAGAATGACATCCTGACAGCTGGTTTCAAACCTGCTGCTGCCCCAGTTGGAATATTAGGTCGGCATCAGAAAGTACGAGCATCTGTCTAACCTACATACCGCCGACGTGTCGGTCAGGTTGATGCGCAAAAGTTCCTGCCAACAAACGCGTCAAACCAAACACACTAAATGTTTTGTAGGTTAAGCGCAGCAATCCTTTCAGGATGTGTTTGTACCCGTGTGTGTGTGTGTGTGTGTGTGAGTGTGAAGCTCAACCCAACAGCTGCATGTGCTGACACACACGCAGATAAAAGTCACACCAGAGGAATGACTGGCATCTAGGAGACTTCAGGGCGCTCCAGATCAGAGCGGCATGAAAATGTTTCGGCGAAACTTTGCAGAGGTGTGCTTTCACGGTAACGTTTATCTAAAATAAAAATAGGAACTCTTTGAAGTGCAAATATGAAACTTAAAAGGGATCAAATACATTGTTTTTCCCTTTTGCAACATTCAAATGTTGGCCTGAAACATTTCAGTGACCACCAGTCTTGTTAATCCATGAAATAACTGAACAAATAAACTTTTTGACCGCATCCAAGTCAATGGAATCAAGACATTTTTAAACTATAACCTGTCTGACAAATATGAAGTCGGGTAAAATGTTTTAGAACATTTCAGAAAAGGTGAGAAAACTGTAAAATTACGTACATTTAAACATGGTGGTGGACTTTCACCGTCATAAAGGCTTAAAGCTGCTGGGTTATGACAGATGAAGTGTGTCCAGCAAAGCAAAAGCTGAATATGGGGACCTTTTGTCCACTATTAAGTAGGGTAGAGGCCCTCTGATGCTGTGGGTCTGTTTCCCCTCCAAGAGTGCTGGGATTCTTTGAAATACCAAAAAATTAAATAAATTTAATAAACAAAGGAACAAATTTAGGAAGCAAGATGGAAGGACGTAACATGTAGACAGATTACAGGGAATGAAGTCTGGAAATAAACTCCAATTATTTGAGTTTCCTCACACATTTAACTCTTCGCATCATTCACACACTTATTTACATCGTCTCTGATGTCCTTCCTGCTCAGCTCTTAACTCGTGGCTGGAATCAGTTAAAGTTAGAAAGTTCGGGTCACAGAAAAATGTCAGGGTCAGCCCCCGACCCGTCTGTTCTCAGACAGCAGCCTCCGTTTTCGTAGAAGACGAATTCTCAGAGCCTCCGGACGACGGAGCGCAGCGTTAACTCACTTAACTTTGAAGTCAAGGGCGGCCCATCCTCTGCTGCAGTTGCTGCGATTTGTCCACCTGCGCTTCGTTTTTACCGCCGGTTATTAACAGACGAACCAATCCCCACAGACAGAGCAGCTGTGCCCGTTTGATCCTCTGAAACACGAGATGTGCAAACAAAAGAGCAGAAGACTGAGTGATGACAAGGAAACAGTTTAGGGTAGAGCAAAAAAAAAAAAAAAAAAAAAAAAAAAAAAAAAAAAAAAAAGGGCTCAGAATCAATCCAGCAGTTTTTAATGTAGCCT